ATGGTATTATTTCTGAGAGATAGAATCCTAAAAGGTTTGCTAAGACAAAATTATGTGTATTTTTTCATTTTGACAAATATTCCTGTGCTTGGATTATATATTGTACAACAAACCACCCTAAAACTTAGTGGGCCAAACCAACAATGATTTATTATTTCTCACAAATTTTCTGGCCAGAGTATCAGGCAGCATTCTGCTGGATGGTTTTTTTTGTTCCCCATTATTTCAACTGTGTGATTTATAAAGGGAGGTTTTTTTTTAGCTCATGGTTCTCAAGTCATATAGCTGCATCTGTCAAGAGCCTTGGTCTGCATCATGTGTCAGAAAAGCAGAAGGGCAGGAGGGCATGTGTGGAAGACACAGAACACAAAGGGCAGTCTCACTTTAGAGCACTTTAGCCTCACAGTAACCAATGCAGTGCTACAAAAATGGCATGAATCCCTTCATGAGTGGAGCCCTCATGACCCAAACACCTCTTAAGGATCCTACCACCTCTCAACACTTATTTTGGGGGGCAAATTTCAACATGAGTCCCATTTTGGAGGGGACTAACCACACCCAAATTGTAGAAGGTGCTTATTCAATTTTCAGTCACTTGAAAAAAGTAGTGTTTGTTTTGATAATCAAGAAATACTGTAACAGTATTTCCATTTTGAAGAAAAGAAATGTCAACATTAAATTTAAAAAATTATATTGGGGCTGGTGCTGTGGCGCAGCAGGTTAACACCCTGACCTGAAGCGCCGGCATCCCATATGGGCACTGGTTCAAGACCCAGATGCTTCTCTTCCAATCCAGTTCTCTGCTGTGGCCTGGGAAAGCAGTAGTAGATGGTCCAAGTCTTTGGGCCCCAGCACTGGCATGGGAGACCCAGAGAGGGCTCCTGGCTCCTGGCTTTGGATTTGCGCAGCTCCAGCCGTTGCAGCCAATTGGGGAGTGAACCATCAGATGGAAGACCTCTCTCTCTCTCTCTGCCTCTCCTCTCTGTGTAACTCTGACTCTCAAGTAAAATAAATAAATCTTTAAAAAAAATTATAATCTTGGATATTAAAGGTGGTTATAAAGTTATAGGCTTTTCAAATAGAAAAAAATGCAAATTCCTTCAGTCTTATAAAATCTTTATTATTTATATCTAACCTATTTATCTTATTTATATCTAACTTATTTATTATAACTTATTTATATCTATTTATTATCTAACTTATTATTATAAGTCTTTATTATAATTATTATATAATTATATATTATTGTTATAATAGTGGTAGTATAATAGGGCAAGTGGAAAACAACCAGCAGTACTCCTAAAGTGAAATACCCCACTGCAAACATTTCAGACAGACATTCTGTCATGCTTCCTTAATGAATTGAGCAATAGGCTGAATGAAGGAGACAGACATTTTGAGGTATGAGTGTTGTTATTTGATCTTTCTGGGCAGGCAGCAATAATGAATTAGAGTATAACAAATTAGAGCAAATGGTTGGCAGTAGAAATAGACCAAATATATTCTCTTTGTTGTTACTATGTAAAATTCAATTTTATTAAAAGACCATATATTTGTGTAAGTATATGTGATCAAATAAACTATCTTGTCATATGAGTCATCTTTTGTGAGTGGTGGGAAGAAGGCCCTAAAACTTTAAATATGAAGAAAAGCACTCTCTAAAATTTAGATTTCTTTGCGATATGTAATACTCAAATCTAAGAGAAAAAATTCAGACTTTGCATTCAGTGTTCTCTCTTGCTACATTCTATGACAGCAGTTGTTAGTTTTAAGTCTCATTGCTGAAGTCTATTCTAGTTTGAACCATTAGCTATATGCAGTTAGGACTTAAACTGTAGCAGCCTGCTGATTTTCTGGATCTTAATCTGGCAGACCTAGCTCCATATGCACAGATAAAAACATTATCTAATTGTATATTGGGTTTCTGGATTGGGTCATCTGCCAAGGCTCATGGAAGAGTCAGTTACCTGAAGAGAGTGATGTTAAGTTCTATGAAGACTAAAACAAAACAATGAACCCTTAGCTACCCAGGGCCTGAGAAGGAAGTCATCTCATGACTTCATTTTGAGGATGTGATTGGTTGAAATAACTCAGGGCCTATCAAGTCCCTGTGAAGCCTAGGCAAGAGCTTTTTGTAGCAAAGAATCGTGTGGAATTCAAAGGCTGTTTGCCACATTCAGGGGCCTCCAGAAACACAAAGCTAAGTTCATGTTATCTTCTGGAAAAAGATAAAGGTCATTTTTAATGACTTCCCCAATGCTAATGGACTCAGGAGGAAATTCTAGACTAGAACTATAACTATTCACTAGCAGAACATCGTAATTCCTTCCATTGCCTCTTTTCTGTATGTATGAAACATGTGCATTAAAAGTTCTTTTTCTAAAAAAACTCACAAATCCATAAAAGAGATCTATTTAGTCTGGTTCTTATCTCGGATTTCCTATGTATCTTAAAAAAAGTTTAAATTGTAATGATTGTAATGGAAAATAACTCTAAGCCCAGGTTTTTTTTTTTTTTTTTTCTTTTTCCCTTCAAGGCAAGGCAGGAGCAGCTTGACTGGGTCCATGGAACAAGAATCTAGGAGCAACTGAAATATGATTCCCAATGTTCTTCTGATTTCTTTTGCCAGTTCTAAAAAATAGCATCCTAAAACATGCCATTCCCAGAGTAGTAGAATTTCTGGCACAGAGAAAGGTTTATACTACCACCACCCACTAGTAATATCATTCACTTATTTCTCTGTATCTACCTGGGTATACCGGAAAGCCAAGGGAGAATATGCCATTCTGAATCTGGCTGAACTAGGTAAACTCTTTCCAATGCTAACCCTTTTCTTCTTTTTCATTTTACTTGAGAGTTTAGGAGTTTTGTTGGCTAGTGTCGCTCCCCCTCTTCGTGGAGGAGCAACACAGGACCCTGCGCTGTTCTTTCGTCTGCTCGGCCCTCCCCGGGTTTGCTGCTGGTCCTTCCCGGGTTGGCTACTATCCCTTCCACCTCCGTGGAAGGGCAGTTCCCCCTAGCCACATTCCCCACTTCCGCAGGGGAGCGGCACACCGCCGGCCGGCTTTCTCGGGGGCTGCACGGGTTCCCTTAGATGTTCCCCATAGATGTTCCCCATAAATGTTCCTCGTGCATGCCGTCTCTCTCCTCCTTTATAGTCCTCCTCCGCCAATCCCAACTCGGCTGCCCACACGCCGAGTATGCTGCTCTCCAATCAGGAGCAAGTCCTACAGTTTATTGGTTGAACTGGAGGCAGCTGTGCGGAAGCTGTTTACTTCTCTCCCAGCGCCATATTGTGGGAGAGCAGATGCATAGAATAAGTCTTAATTCCAGTAACTCAGTCCAGTCCGGATTGCTCCCCACAGCTAGAGGCTATTTTTCCTTCCACCCAACTCTGATGAAGAGGACACTTAACAACACCAGATTCTCTAAGAAAAATACAGAAATTATACAGAAAGCTGTTCCCCAGATGCAGTCTATTGTTCTATCACTAAACGATCACACAACACATTATTTAAATAAATAGCCTCATGTCTAATGCAGTGTTTCTGATTCAGCTCCACACATCAGCCAGGATTACTGAAATACAGGGATGCTCAGGCTCAACTTCGGAATAATTTAAACAGAATTTCTGGTAATGGAGCCTCCCTAAATGGTTCTGATGCAAGGGTGAAGACTAAGAACTACTGGTGCAAAGGTTATGTATGCCAGAAACCATGTATATTAAAATAAGCAAGTTCTCACAAAGGAATATGATAGTGCATAATATAAGTAATACTAAGGAAAACCAAATGTACAAATAGACCTCTTTTTCACTTAAAAGAGATCCTTGGAATAATCTTCACAAAGATTAAGATGTCACCATAAAAGGATTTTTTTTTAACCTCAGAGAAAGCAAGTAAGATGGGTTAACATACTGTTTACTGTTCTCAAAATTTAGGTTTCCTTTTTCAAAGTTAAACTACATATCTGTAGGGAGAGCAGAAAATCTGATGTATACAAACCTGTTGCAAAAATTTCCACTTTGTTTAGAAAAATTTTGCTTGCCTTTTAATATTCTCTGAAAAGACCCTATGAACTTTACCCAGCAATGTCCCAAGGCAAATAAAACTGTGCTTGGATATTAGCATAGTTCCACAAATTCCACCTTAATAAAAGTAATGAAACAGTCACAAGAAGCTTGGTGCCATCTGTGAGCACCCCCATCATCACCAGGGGCACTACATCAGCCCTGAAGCCAGGACTGTACTGATTGAGAATATTTAATTCTGCCCAAGAAAAAATAAACAAAACTCATGTGTGAAACACAGGTAAATACTAACCTGTTGGTTAACATCAGCAGGGCATATGCATGTGAATATACATAGAAAAGGCTGGAGTGCCAGCATCCTATATTGGCGCCAGTTCGAGACCCGGCTGCTCCTCTTCTGATCCAGCTCCCTGCTATGGCCTGGGAAAGTAGTGGAAGATGGCCCAAGTCCTCCGGCCCCTGCACCCGCGTAAGAGACCCAGAAGAAGCTCCTGGCTCCTGACTTTGGATCGGGGTAGCTCCGCCATTGCGGACAGTTGGGGAGTGAACCATCGGATGGAGGACCTCTCTCTCTCTCTGCCTCTCCTCTCTCTGTGTAACTGACTTTCAAATAAATAAATAAATCTTTAAAAAAAAAAAAAGGCCAGAAAGACCAATACATACCTAATATACACGAGCTATTGAGTATACAAGAAGCACTTAATATTCATTAACCATTGTATATTCATAATATACTAAATATATAGGAGACACTAAATATTCAAAGGTCTTAATTCTGCCACCCAGCGGTGACAAACTAGTCTCACACCTCCTGCCAAGAAATGTAAAACCTGTATTGGCTCACCAGGCTCCTGCGAAAGCTACAGCCTGGGCCAGGCATTCTTGCTAGGCCTCCTCTGACTACCCGCCCAGACATGGGGGCTATCGATCCTTAATCACCAGAATGGGGACTATTAGAATTCTAACACGACAGGGGCTCAATAATGTTCGCTAAACGGATATAAACACAATCCAGACCGTGTAGAAACCTCAAGTTATGTATTCTTTCCAAAATAATTTCCAAGCATTGTATCTGAAAATGCGTGATGGCTGAATTAGGATTTTCGGTTTTTCGTCCCTCGCCGGCGACGTAGAAGGCACAGCGACACCGATACGTTCTTTGCCCGCGACCTACATGCAGGGCAGCCCAGGGTGCTGGTCTACCTACAAGGCCAACACTTCCCTCAATCTGTTTCAGGAACTAGTTGCTTTTGCTTTGCAGTTTCGAGGCCGACGATGGCGACGCTGTGGTCTCCCGCCCGGGTGGAATTGGAGCTTCGCGATGACGCTGGAGGTGGCGCTCGCAGGTGGCCTTCAGAAAACGCCTCCCACTCGGCGGCCGCCTCCTGTCCTTTCCCGAGGTCAGCAGCGGGGCAAACAGGAAAGCGTGTGTGACGTGAGCTGATCGCCGAGAAAAGCTTTCTCACCCAGCAAGCTCCTCAGGGCCCTCCAGCTCGCTCTGCTCCTCCTCCTGGCGACCCAGACCCCGCCCCAGACCGCCCACTGATTCACATCGCCCAATAGGCGCCGACGCGGCCCCGAGAGTGGCCGCAGGAGGGCGTGTTTGGGCGGCCGGACGCTGAACGGCCGTTCACGTCTACGTGGTGACGTCACGCGCCGACGCTGGGGACGTACCTGTCGGGCTCCGGGCTCCTGCCGCTTCTCTTCCCCTTCCGTGGTTAGGGGCTGGTGCGGTCCAGGACCCACGGCCCCTTACTCAGAGTCCTAGTTCGCCCGCGGCCCGGAATCGGGTTGGATGAGGAGGAAGGAAGAGTGTGGTGTTTGAAAGCCATCCTACTTTACTCCAGAGTTGGAGCATGGATTCAATTTTAGTCTTTTCCGAGAGAAGTGAGGTTGGAGCTTTTTATTTTTAATTTTGGGTAGAAGCAGGTTGACTCCCAGGCCCTCCAAAGCAAGAGGGTTTAACTTAATGCTGTTCCCGTGTTTGAAGGAGGACATAAAAAGTCCCACCTGGCACAATTTGCGTAACCTCCGGTAGAAAACACCAGGTATCTTTTAAATCGCGGTAGTTTGCGTTGTGTGCCAGGCTTTTTTCAGGTGAAGCTTCCAGGGTAGTTAGGTTTGAAACAGATGCAGAATCCAAAGGCAGCGCAAAAACCAGCCACCGATTTTGCTATGCCTCTGAGCTGCGAGGTGAGTTGCATTCGTTAGTTGTCATGTTCACGGATTTGGGGGCAGCTGCGAGGTCAGGGTACTCATCTTGGTTTCTCTTAAAATATGTTTCTACATGTTAAACCCACCCGATTATGTAAATACCCCCTCGGTCATTCTTTAAAATTTCACCCATTTCCTTCAGGAGCCGTCGAAGGCCTTTTAAATAGAATGGAAGTAGGTGCCAAGAAGAGATTCATTGTAAAAGTAGAGAGTGGGTTTTACTTTCGCTAAATTTGCCCACATTTAAAAATAACATTTAAATTTGTCTTTAAATGTATATAGAAAGCATTTTCGGGTACATTTGGTATTTGCGTTTTGACTTTAAACTTGGAACAGAAGCTTCTTTCGAATCTCAGAAATGAACTTTGCATGTGGTATCCTGTATTTATATATATAGCATGGTGCAGCCGTGCAGCACTTAGAAGTAATTATGTATACAGGATGCTTCTTAGAGACCAAGATTTGTGTTTCCTTTGGGGAAAATTCCTGTGTATGATAATTGAATCAGCAGTGACCACACCTTTATATATGTAATTTACATTTCAAAAGTTCGCTTGTGCAGACTTAAACTTTTTTGAACCATGCAGTTCAGTTACTGCAGCATCATTGTGGTTTGTGTCATTGATTGTTGACCCTTTCCAGAAATGCTTTTCCTTTCATCTCTACTGAGTTGGTTCACAAGATTATTTTCTTGATAAAGTCAATTTGGAAATATTTTAAAACTGTCAGTCAATTCTACATGCCTTTGTGGGTCACTGCAAAATAGTATTAGTTCAAGACTACATCAATGAATGAAAATGCTTAAGTATTGTTGAATTTCATCTTAAAACCAAACTATTTTAAGAAATCCATATGAATTTACAGTACCTCTATCTTTACTTGGAAATTGAGCTTTAGCATGTGTTATCTATCATACATACCTCAATAGAAATGTAAATATTTAACCTGGCTGTGGATATATATATATATTGGGGAACAGATTTGTTGAGGTTATGGCTTTGTGTTAGTAAATTGGCTATTTTCCAGGTCATGTTGATGAATAGGCTTTCCATTTCCTGTTGTGACATGTTGGTAATAATTTTCAGACCGCTCAGGAAGCTAGATTTGATCTCTGTGGTTGGTTATATATCAAAGCAGCATCCTGTGGGGTTTTGCCACTATCACTGCTTTACAGAACTTCCAGCTTGGTTTCTGTCAAACTTGTCAGCAGGAATCAAAAACATATAATGTGATATAATAAATGTTAATACTTGTAGAGTGCAGTCTATGGTTCAGGCTCTTGAGTGGTTTTTGTGGAATATCTCAATTTTCATCCCACCCCCCAGGAAGTAGGTACTCTCACTATTCCCATTATACAGATGTGGAAACTGAGGCACAAAGGACTTAGTTAACTTGCACAACACCCTCAAAGTTAGTTGTCAGAACTGGGACTGAAGCCTGATGATATAATTTGAGTTCTTGCTCTCAGTAACTGGACTATACTGCAGTTACATTAGTAAGAATGTGCAGAGAAATAGATGGTTTGAGGGACATGGCACCAGATTCATTTATTTTTAAATTATAAGAATAATGTAATGTTATAGAAGCATTGGAAATAGTGTTTTTAAAAGAACAATTCTAATCTACTCTAATACTCTTGTTTTTGTATGTACAGTTACAACTGTATCTAAACATGGTAGCTGTAATTCATTTTGAGTTTTTTTTTTAAAGATTTATTTATTTGAAAGTCAGAATTAGGGAGAGGGGGAGAGGGAGAAGTCCCCCACTACTGAATTCTAAAAAAATCAATTACACATTAGGATCACTGTCTTCTAACAGAAAAGTAGGAAAAATTGTAACCATTCTCTTATTTGCTAAAATAAACATTAAAAATTCAAAAGGGCAAGATCAGAAGGAGTAGAACTGTTTGTTAATTATGCCCACAGGATTATTGAAACAGAAGCGATCTATTCTGATACAAATTGTCAACACATGCAAGATCCTATAGGGCAGGCATTTGGCCTAGTGGTTAAGACAGCATTTGCACACCTGTATCCAGTATCAGAGTGCCTGGGTTCACGTCCCAGCTCTGCTCCTGGTCTAGCTTTTTACCACTGTAGACCCTGGAAGCCAGCAGGTGATGGCTCAAGTATTTGGGTCCCTGCCACGCACGTGGGAGACCTGGATAAAGGTCATAGCTCCTGGCTTCAACCTGGTCCAGCCTTGGCTGTTGTGGGTGTTTGGGGAGTTAACCAGTAGATGGGTGACTCACTCTCTCTCCCCTCTCTCCCCTCTCTCCTCTCTCTCCTCTCTCCCTTGCTCTGCCTTTCAAAAATCATTTTTTAAAAATGAATAAGCTTTTTAAAATCAGTTTAAGATGAGATCTGTGCAGCAAATATATTAGTTATGTTGATTTTACTTTGATGACTTGTTTTAAATTGGACCTTGCCCAATGCTGATGTAATCAGTGGGCCACACTTAATTCCCATGGCATAATGGTGACCTTTATAATATGTCTTTTCAGATGTTTTTAAAATTTTTCCCAACCAACCCTGTACTGTGTTAAGAATTACATTTCTTCAAGTACATATACATGCTTTTTAAAAACTGTGCTGTTTTACTACATATTGTCCTGTCTCATCAGTTTGATACATCTCAAATGAATTGAAATAGACTATTAAAAAAGTGTGTACTGTACATCTGATTTCCTTTTTCCAGTGATTCTGAAATAAAGGTGTACTCGTTTTGTACAGTTAATTAGTATTAATTAGTAAATAGCCCTAGTTTTACCCGAACCACATTGTAATTACTTGGTTAGAAAGAAAGAAGAGATTTCTCCTTCCTGTATGAAATCAGATGGAAAAAAAGAAAATGATGCCTATTTCAAATGGGGATCCACTGGGTCCAGCTGCCTGCTGGATAGATATTTCTATGCAGATATCCTGAGATCATCACATGCAACATGTCTGCTGATTTTCTTTCTGCATTTTTCAAGTAACATTTTTAATTGACTAATTTCTGTAGACAACAGGTCTTTTCATTGTAAGTAGAGGAAGTAACACATACATTAGATTCATTGATACTTGTATTTCCTAGTGCTTTATAAATTCAGATTTACTGATCTTTGTTCTTTGTGACCCCTGAATATATGTTGTTTTGTTTTTTCTGTGGCTTTAGATACTTTATTGTTTCTTCTTGAAACAGTTCCAAAACTTTCTAAGCAATATCTGCTTTTAGTTTCCTCTTGCTGGAGTATTCCTTACATAAATTCCATTTTATCTCCTCATCACCCAGCTTTGCCTTCATCATTCTTTTGCTTAACCGTCCCCACCACCCTATAATCTGTCAAATTCTTTCAAGGTTGGGCTCTCATTTCTTTTTTTTTTTTTTTTTATGATTTTTTTTTTATTTGAAAAAGTTACAGAGAGAGGTAGAGAGAGAGAGAGAGAGATTGGTCTCCCATCCACTGGTTGACTCCCCAAATGGCCGCGGCGGCTGGAGCTGAGCTGATCCGAAGTCAGGAGCCAGGAGCTTCTTCCCAGTCTCCCACATGGGTGTAGACGCCCAAGGACTTGGGCCATCCTCTGCTGCTTTCCCAGGTGCATTAGCAGGGACCTGAACTGGCACCCCTGTGGGATGCTGGCACTTCAGGCCAGTGCTTTAACCTGCTGCACAACAGAGCTGGCCCCTCTCATTTCTTTTTCTAGCTTTCTTGTATTCCGTCCCAACAGGAATATCATAGCCTTGTGCATTAGGGCAGGATTCCCAAAATGTATCTAAGAATACTAGTGCTGCAGACTATTAACAGGTGCTGTGAGTTGAGGGGTAATTCCCTGGTGAAATAAATCTGAGAAGCTTTCCATAAATTTTCTTTATGAAGTTAATGGTTTTTGAGGTTTTATCAAGAGCCATTTTTAGTGCTGTTAGCCATCACAATTCTAGACAGGAGTATGATGTATTACCCAAACTTATTAACCGTGAAGCCTTTTACAGATCTAGTATTCTGTGCACATATTTACTGACCTACAAATATTTTTGTTGCTTTCTCAGCTCCATAGCTTGACTCATACCATTAATTTTGCTGCACCCCAGCTCTTCTCCCATTTCTGCCCTATAAAAACCTAATTTAGCTATTTTGGTCCAGTTTAGGAATAATTCTTTGAAAAAAAATGCTTCTTATCAATCACAGTGAGATGTGATCTTTTCTCTAAGTTCATTGCAGTCCCTTTGTTTTTGTGACATCTGTCATATACTTTTTATTACAGGGATATGTACTAATTTATAGGAAAATGTAGCCTCTTGCTTGACAACAGTGTATCATGTAATATATACTGAAGTTTATTGAAAGCTGTAAGACCTATGCAAATATGAATATGATGACATCAATACAAAAACTTTTATATTTAGCACATTTTTGGAACATTGATAGCTATTAGAAAAACATTAGTAAGTGAAGAAGTGATTATGTTGAAATTCACTGTGACATTTTATTCTGTGACCAACCAGCACTTAGCACAAACATTTCTTACAGTATTTATATGAGAATGTTTCTTGCATGCCAGTGACTAGATCAGTCTGGGTTTTACTTCCCAGCCATCATTGTTTATGTGTATTTTGTTCTATCTTTCTAGTTGTAGACATTGAAAATTCTCATTTCCTTTTTTTTTTTTTTAAAGATTTATTTATTTGAAAGAGTTACACAGAGAGGAGAGGGAGAGAGAGAGGGAGGGAGGGGGGAGACAGAGAGAGAAAGGGGGTAGAGAGAGAGGCCTTCCATCTGCTGGTTCACTCCTTGATTGGCCACAATGGCCGCAGCTGCGCTGACCTGAAGCCAGGAGCCAAGAGCTTCCTCTGGGTCTTCCACGCAGGTTAAGGGGCCCAAGGACATGGGCCATCTTCTGCTTGGCCATAGCAGAGAGCTGGATAGGAAGTGGAGCAGCTGGGACTCCAACCAGCGCTTGTATGGATGCTGGCACTGCAGGTGGCAGCTTTACCCACCA